CAAGTTTTAAAATGAACCTAGGATCTATAAATAATCCCTGAAAGAAGATATGCAAGTGACCCAGAAAGTATATCATGTTTAAAATATACAAATGCCCTAGTAAGCACATAAGCACAAATTAAAATAAGATGCCATTCTTCCTTTTTAAAATCAACAGATTGTATATTATCCAGTGCTGACAAATTTGTGATGAAGTAGTTACATTTTCATACTGTTACTGGGAATATAAACTGGTATAATCTTTCTGAACAGTAATTTCACATTTGTACCAAAAGCCTTAAGAATGTTTCTACTTTGGGGGTGGAGGGTAGAGCAAAATTCCCCGCTCCCTGAATAAGACTACTCATAGTGTTTCCAAAGATTACAGTAGTGTAAGGGGTTGGGTGCCTTCACGCTGGAGGAACCTCCCCAAACTACATTAACCAAGGATCAAGGTCAAAACCACTAGTCATAAGTCATGTTGATAGTATGTACTCTTGATGGCATGTAGTAGAAATGGCTTATTATTCTGTTATCTTCATTTCTAACCCCAATTTAATGATCAGAAACATATCAGACAAAAATCCCAGTTGACGGGACTCCTACAAGATGACCAATACTTCTCAAAACTGTCAAGGTCATCCAAAACAAGGTAAATCTGAGAAACTGTCATATCTAAAAGGAACCTAAGTGGACAAGGTTACTAAAGGTAATGAGTTCTGCATGGCATCCTGAAACAGAAAAGCAACTTTAGGTTAAAAACTAAAGCCATTAGTGGCCCTCCCTGGTGGCGCAGCGGGTTAAAGCACAGCACTAAGAAGCTTAAGCCATTTCGCAGGAGTTCGATTCCTGCCTGCCCCGGAGAAGACCACATGGCGTGGCAGACCTCTCCTGACCCGCCCACTGCTCCCCTCAGCAGTGTACTTCGTCGATCTGCCTGTTCTGCTCCCCACTCTGTCCCTGGTGAATCCTCTCACCCTCCGCATCTCTGGCCTGTACCCCAGTTCTGTATGAATAATGGAAAAAAAGAATAATAAAACTAAAGCCATTAAAACTAAAGCAATCTGAATAAAGTATGAACTTTAGTTAATAATTGTGTATCAGTATTGGTTCATTCATTACTACAAATGTACCACCCTGATAATTTAAGCTGTTCATAACAAGAGAAAATATGTATAAGGTAGTATATGGGAACACTGTTCAATTTTCTGTAAACTTAAAAGTATGCCAGAAAAGCAAGATGATTATTTTTTGAAAGTTTATATTCTTTGGCTAAGCAATTGCACCTTCCAAAAATTTATCCTGCAGAAATAATCACAAATGTAAGGGACAGCATTTCGGAATTAGTTAAAATAGAAATAACCTAAATGCTCGATAGTGGTGACCATTCCTCTATGAATGGACTATTCTAGAACCATTTTGTGCATGAGTAGAGAGAGGGAGAGAATTCTGAGTGACCTTTGTTAGTTCCTTACTCCAAGTACAGGCATCGTGGGGCTTAAGCCTTTGACATCAGAATTTTGAGGAAACACACACATTCAATCCATAAGGACATCTAACTTAATTGTATTCATTAAGTCTTCCATATCAGATTTTCTCAGAACTCCCTAAATTGATTTACTTATGTGCAATAATCCAGTCTTCCATTCAGTGTAAGCATAAGCTCTGAATTATCTAAAAAGATAAAAGTATAATCTCTCTGTGAACAAACAGAAACAAAATTTGAATGTCTCCTGTTCACCCATGTCTGGACCAGGGAGTGTTGCCAAGGATATTCCTGCAGACCAGGTTTGCCTGGTCCTTGCTTCCTAAGAATATTGTCTTAGCCCTTAAGGTTCAGGACAACTATCTGAAGAAGCTCACAGAACTGGAGAAATAAGACATTTTTCAATTTGTTTGAATGAACTTCAGTCTTGGTTCAACCATCTTTTGCTAATCAATTAATTCAGGACTAGCCCTCAGGAAAATCAATGTTTACTGCACAATTATGTTTTGGATGCCATAGTGATAGGATAGAGCCAGAGCTCTGGTCCTTTTAGTGACTTTTGGAAAGTGGAGCCTGATTTTTCTCTGCTCCCAAACTCCTGGACTACAGAAACATAACATTTCATAATGAAGTAATGGTGGCTGTTTTGAGCTGCTAAATTTGGGGGTACTTTGTACACAATAATAGACTACTAATATAGGGCCTTTTTCTAATACCAGGTAAGTTATAGCTGAGACTCTTAAAGGCACAGAATAAATCATAAAATAGTACAGCTTAGTTTGGGGTGAGAGAACCCAACTTTAAATGTATAAGGCAAAGGTTTTTAGCTCTTTATATACCCATGTAACCACAGCCCATGTTGATATGAAACATTTCCATTACTCTAAGAAACTCATCATGCTCAGATCCTATTACTCACTCTTCCCAGAGGTAGCCACTTTTGAGTTTCCATAACTATAGATTGGTTTGGCATGTTCTTGAACTTCTTCATGGAAAGGAGTCTTTGAGTGTACGCCACTCTGACTGACTTCTTTCACTTGGCTACGTGTCTCAGTACTGCAGTTTGTTCCTGATTTTGCTAGGTAGTATTCCACTGGACAATTATGCCAAGTTTATGTATCTCCTTGTTGATAGACATTTGAATCATTCACCATTTGAGGCTGTGATTCATGAGTCTTGGGTCAATTCATAGGCATGGAGTGAATGGATGGTAACGGCTGTAGTTTAACTATCAAGCAATTTTGCAAGGTAGCTTGATCACTTTACATTCCTGCTAAAAGTAGTTCTTCCCTTTCATTTGAAACAACCACCATTTGAATCAGAAAAAAAAAATCCATTCCTAATGAAATCTGAGCGCAATGAATAAAGAGTTTCCTAAATGATCTGGCATATTGACAAGACCAGTCTAGGCTGACAGCAAATCCTCCAGCAATACTTTCTTGCTGATCACAGTCACCTACAAGAACAGTTTTCACAAAGACAGTGGAGCAGGGCTGAAATCCTGTGGCGAGAGGATGTCCCATAAAGGGCCCTTTATGAGCTGTGCACTCTTTTCAGGTGGAGAGAATCTTCCCACTCTGGGCATGTGCTCAGTCCCCAGCCCAGCCCAGCCCAGTCCAGCCCAGTCCAGCCAGCTGACAAAGGAGACAACACCCCGTGCCTAGCGCACTGCCCCCGGGCCCTGAGTCAGCTCAGCATTTCCCAAGATTCCTGCTTCAAATAAACAGATCGGAGAACTTTATTAATTATGCACTCCGGGGCATAGGGTTGTGATGGGCACCAGCTTGACCGCCCGTCCCCTGCTGGCACAGAACCAGAAGGGGCAGTGGCTTCTTGTCCTTCCCGCTTCAGGGGGCCACATGCTGGTACCCGAAGCTGCATTTCTCGTGTTTGGACCAGGCTCACAGAGAACATGAAAAGTATAAAACCAGGTATCAACTCCATCTCAGCAATTTTAGGAGACGCTTGATGCCATATTTTTCTCTGGGGAAAATTAAAAATTGGCGATACAACTGATCTCCAAAAATGCAAAACAATGCAATAAAAGCCCCTTCTCTTTCTGCAGTTGGTGGAAATCATGTGTTTAAGAGCAGAAAAGTGACAGAAAAAAATCCAAGACAGCAGGACATCAAGCAGGGCTCTTGTATAGGATGTCAAGATCCCAGCTCCAGGACCACCAAGCCCACACACAGCAAGTATTTTCAGACAATACAGGAAAGCGTTGAGGCTTGGTCCTTAATACGCTCATGAATTTCCTTAGGACTTTTTATTATCGTGAGTGGCCTAGATGCCGCCTTGCTGCTTGTCAGACACAGAGCCAAGCACTCAGCAAGTGAAAATGTGTCAGTTGATTTCATTACCACAACAGCTCCAAAAGGATGATCCCCATCTCAAAGACGAGGTGCCTCCGGAAGTCAGCCACCTGCAGGAGCTTCCCCAGCTCAAAGGAGAAGCAGAATCTGGATTTACACCCAAGTACCCCATTCCCAGTCCTCACTCTCACCCAAGGGTGCAAACAACAGGTTCAGATTGAGTAGAAGCTGGGTTGGAAGAGCGAGTTCTTTTTGCCTTTGAGTTCTACTTCTGATGACTCAATAGCTCTCAACTGCCAGTTTTAGTTCACTTTCCTGTGGGGAAGATGAAAACCTCTTCCCCGAGAACACAGGGTCCCTGAGCTCTGTGGCCCGGGGAGCTGCATATGCCGACAGGCTTTAGGCCTTTTTCCTCCCAAACCACGGAAGCTGCTTCCCTCGAGCCAGCTCATTTTTTTCTAGGGTAGAGGAACACCACCTTGCCTTCTTTACTCACTGCCTTATGAGAATATTCCATCTCTAGAACCATGTTTTTTCTACGCCAGACACACAAGAAAGCATTGCTTCCATTACCGGCTATTGTGTTTGAGGACCTTCTCTATAATAGCAGGTGGGAGCACTCCGGCCACTTTGCCCTCATTAAACCATGAAGGTCACTCTCTGGCAGGCTCTGCAATCAGCCAGCCCTCCCCTTGCTCCCGCAACTGTGTCTCTTCCAGAACCTTTTGCAATTATGGCTCATTTCTCTGGGCTTCATATGGCAGGCATCTGAACAGAACCGGAAGCATAAGCACGTGCAGAAACAAGCTGCTTCCCAAGATAGTAAATGCTGAGGAGCTCTATATTAGAACACTGTGAGTGCTGACTGGCTGGGGCATGATTAACCTAATAGGCTTAAAGTTCCACTTGCCATCCACATCTGTCAGAGCACAGGCAAAATGCGGGCTCGTACTCCACAGGACCGGGGACCGGGGTCCTTTCCAGCACCGCTTGCTCTCAGCACAGGATTTGAGCTCAGACGGCAGAGTGACTGGCATCCCGGCTCTCCTCTGTGGGGCTGAGGGAGTCAAGAAGGCTGGTCCCAAGCACAGGATCTTGTACTTCCAAGGATGCTGGCCTGGAAGCTGCCTGGATGGACTAGTAAGACGGGCTTTTGTTCCTATTTCCAGTGCGATTCTCTGAGAGTGTGGAGGCGCTGGGTGGAATGACTGCAAGCTGAAATCATGGGGTGTACACCTTCCCACAGCCACCTTGTCAACAGTGTCACTAGGAGTGGCTTCCAGTTTTTTAAAAAGCCCAAAGCAATTTTGCCAGAACCCCAGGGGGGCAGTGACAGAAGCCCCAACCCACAGCTGATTCAGAACTGCACTTGCTATGACACTGGGGGGGCCTTGGCCCAGAGACAGAGGCTGGCCGAGGGACAGCCACATTTCAGACGGCCCCAAGCCCCGGCTGAAGAGAAGCTCACGGGAGGTCCCACCTGCGGCAGCAGGAAAGCCATGGAAGGTCTGGTCCCAAACACCAGAACCCCCCCACCACGGTCACACAAGCCACAGAGCAGCAGAGCTAAGGGCCTCCAATTCAGCCCACGGGGCTCCCGTGGGTCCCCGGGATCAGCCTTTTCTGGGGAGGACAGTGAGGACAGTAATGCCCCGGAGGGCTCCAAAGGGCAAAGGAAGCCAAGACACCGCACGTCGGGCCAGCGGGGCCACCGCCCCCCAACCGCGCCCCCAGCTCCGGCATCTGAAGGCCAGGCGGACTTCCCCGAGGCCCTGGTGAAGGCCCACCGGCTCGCCTATGCCTACCTGCGTTCCAGCCTCTCCAGGTACGAAGTGATTCTGTGCCTCACCCATCAGGCCATGCGGACCCAGGAACTGCTGCAGCCCATGGTCAACTTCCTGCTGCTGTGCTTTGACCAGGTCCACCAGCTCTTGGGGGAGATGGCCCAGGATGGAGAAGAGCTCCTCCGGGAAGTCAGGGAGGAGCTGGCTCGGCCCTGGAGGCTGGGGACGGCCCAGGAGCAGCCCGATCTCCTGCAGCAGCTCCTGCAGTACACAGTGAGCAAGCTGCAAGCGCTCAGCGGCTCGGCGGCCTCCCTGACCGGCGGCCTCCTGGAGGGCTCCGGCAGCTACCTCCACTCCACGGTGAGCCTCTTGGCAGGTAAGCTGAGCGCCAAGAGGGGTGCGGATGAACGCCTCCGAAAAACTCTGGGGCGCCTGGAGAGCTTGGCAAGTGGCCCCAGTGACCCTGGGGTGCAGGGTCTACCTTTATGCTCTGAGGACAGTGGCATTGGTGCAGACAGTGAGTCTGGGCAGCTGGTGGACAAGCTGGGCAAGCAGGCAAGCTGGGACTCAGTGTCAGAGCCTGCAGAGTGGAAGGTCGGGACTTCAGCCACAGAGGAGGCCAGGCTTTCAGGATATGTACAGCAGCAGAGGCCACTCTGGATGGGTCCAGACAGACTCCTGGACTGTCCGTTCTCAAGGCTTCTTATGGCACAGACTGAGCCAGCAGCACAGGGTGCAGCAGGGAGCCCCTGGCCCGATAGCACCATTCCAGAAAATACTACCGACAGGCCTTTAACTCTGAGCAATAATGCTCTGTGCAGTTCCCTTGGGCTGGGGCTCTCTGCAGCACCACTTCCTTCCAAAGGCTCCCGGTTGATGGACACACCATCCTTCTGGGAGGACAGCAGCCCAGAGAGAGAGGAAAATAGAGTTAATGGCATAAACCCATGTGCAGGGCAGGAAGCTGCCTCTCAGCCAAGGCCAACATCTTCACCAGCTAGTGCAGAAAGTACCTTTCAGCCTCGCCTCAGGGAACTGAGGAGGCACCAGGCCCAGGAAATGATTCTAAAGATGAAGGAAGCAATCAGTGAAAGGATTAAGTTTGTCCCTGTGCCCTCTGGGCACCAGGACTGGGCTGAGGAGGAGGAGAGCACCACCCTGCCCCCACCAAGGCCGCACACGGTGGGTGGCAGCAGGAGGGGCCCCGCCGGGCAGAGGAGGTGCCAGTCAGAGGCCTGTCTGCAGAGTCAGGTGGAGGACCCCACCTTCCAGGAGCTGCGCAGGGCCCAGAGCGACCTCAGCCTTAGGCTAGACATGTTCTGTGCGCTGCACACCAGACAGCAGGGACCGAGCAAGGTGCAAGCCCCACAGCCCAGGGCAGCAGCTCTGAGGCCGGACAGCTGCAGGCTCGCCCCGAGCAACACCACCCGCAAGCTGAAGGCGTCCCTCGCCAAGAACTTCAGCATTTTGCCAAGTCAGGACAAGACCATTTTGCAAAACCACAGCCCCCACCCAGAGGGTAACCAGGCCTGGCAGGGGCTTCCCCAGTCTCCCCCAGCAGGTGACAAGGTCAGCGAGGCTTCTGGGACCAAGGACAGAAAGGGTGCAGGCCCTCCCTCCAGAATGTCCGTCAAGAAACTCATCGAAACTTTCAGTTCCCCTGAGAGCCCGAGGACACTGGGGAATTCCCAGGGGTCCCGGACAAGCCCCAGGCTCAGCAAGTGGGGTGTCCCTGTTCTACCTCCCCGGTTTCCCATGTACAGGGACTTTGCTGCTTTGTATTCAAAACCCCAAATGCCTCCAACAGGAAGAGGATCTCCCAAAGTGGACCCCGACGAGAGGCCCTTCGCCCCTATCTTCCCGCCTCTGCTCACAGCCAGAGCACCCACAAGTGGGAGCTTCAGCGATGACAGGGAGGCAGACCCAGAGTTTCTCCCCCCACCACCTCTGGAAATCCTGATGGACAAATCTTTCACTTCTCTGGAGCCCCCAGAAAGTAGTCAGCTGGCAAGGAGCTCCCCTGAAGCACCTGGTGTGCCAGCGCTGGGCAGGGCTGACCCAGCATGCGGGGTGTGGGCTCCCCCAAAGCTGAGAGCCTCCCTGAGCCCCCTGAACCTACTGCCCAGCCGGAGCACTGCCATACCCACCAGGTCGCCCAGCTGTGCAGGGCCAGGGAGCCACCACAGTGTGGACAGTGCTGGGAAGCTGGGCTGGAGCCTCAGCCACCTGCCGGCAGCCAGCGAGGGGGACCGGGACGGGGCTCAGAGACAGGCACGAGCGGACAGGGCGGCAAGCCTGACCAGGCATCCCCGGAAGGCCGTGCCGGGGCACCACTCCAGCCACACGTCTGCGCACAATGGGACCTCAGAATCCAGCCTGGCCAGGCCAGTGCGAGGGCCACTGGAGCCCGAGCGCATGAGGCAGAGCCAAGAGAGAAGCCCTGCCATGGTCAGGAAGGCCTCTCCCACCAGGGCCCGCTGGGCACCCCGAATGGACAAGAAGCACCCTGGCCTGGCCTCCTCTCCCAGACCTGCCCAGCCAAGTGCCTCCACGGTGCACGCCTCCCCCAGCCCGCCACTCAGCTCTCCCGTGAGCCCGAGGGTGCTAAGCCCCCCAGCAGTGAAGAAGCGAGGTTCTCCACCTCCCCAACACAGGCTACATGGCCCTCCCCCAAAGAGCCCGCCCACTCAGCAGCAGGTCTCCGGCCCCCACTCCCAGCGCACAGAAACAAAATCCCCTTCCCTTGGGCCATCCCCAGCGTCTCCAGTGTCCCCTCCTCAGGGGTGCGAGGAAATGGGGAATTCTGCAGTCAGCCTGGCAGCCGCAGCCAAAGCATCTGGGAACACACGCTCCATCTTCTGCCCGGCCACCTCCTCTCTGTTTGAAGCTAAATCACCCTTGTCAATGGCCCACCCGCTCACGCCACCCCCGCCGCCATCGGAAGATGGGAGTCCTCGTGGGAGCCCCCTGGGATGCAGGAGAAGCAGCTCAGGGCCACCCCTCAAGGGGGGGTCCCAGAGGGCCGTGGCTCTGTGTACCCTCAGTCCCCAGCCTTTCGCCAGAAGGACAGCTTCGGACCCCTGGCCAGGCCTCCGCGCCCGACTGCCTGGCTCCGGCACCACCAGCTGTGCGTGGGCACCCCAGGGGGCCCTCAGCAGGTAAGCGACACCCCTCCCCCCCAGTGGAGGGTGGAACTGGGCTGCTGCAGCCTCAGGGTCTTCGCTTTGGGGTCTTTGCCTCTCTGGGCCGGCAGTGTTCAGACCGTGCTCCAGAGAGACAGGTGGGAAACAGGTCTGGGGCTCTCTGGCCGCCCCCAGACCACCCCGCCCAGTCCCACTACACCTGCACCTGTTATACAGTCCAGGTTCCTGAGAAGGATTTAGTTGACGAGACTCTGTTGCAATAAAGTTTAAGGCAAGCAAGTTGTTCAAGCACACACGCCCCTACTTCACAGGCGGAGGTTGAGGTGAGTGACTCCCCCTCACACAGCTTCTGCCTCCCGGTCTGGAGCCTGCAGTGGGCACGTGCCCGCTGGCCAGGACAGTCGGCCTGGGAAGGTGCTCAGACCGTTGGGTCTTGGCCCCCTTAAAAATGATTGAGATGCCCCAATAGAGCCCTTAAGTGTATGAGTTCCTATCTATTGCTTTTTACTGAATTATAAATTATTTACTGCGTTATCTTTTAAAAAGAAGCCCATGTTTAACATACGTAATATACTCTTATGAAAAGTAGCTGTATTTTTCACAATAACAACAAAATTTTAGTCACTGGCGAGCTGCTGTCAGCTGTTCGTGCAAATCTCCTCAGCGTCTGGCTTCCCAGAGAGACAGCTGGACCCTCCGCTCCACAGCGGCAGCCCATCTGCCGTGGCGCCCACACCGTGGGCCAGACACGGCACCCACAAAGGAATGAGCAAAAGCGGCGATCATGTTTTGGGGGTGGGTGTAGCCCTTAGGGGGACATCCCTCTGTCCCCCTAAGGGCTGGCATATAAATCCTGCAGGCGTGGGGTCGACAGGGCTGGCTCCCCACACCCCGAGGACCCGCCCCGGTGGCTCCAGTGGGGCCTCCCCATCCTGAAGGTCAAGAGGCTGCGGGAGAGCACTGTCCTCGCTGGCTGGGCTCGCCGGGCCACACGGTGCCAGAGCAGACAGGCCAGGCCCACAGCCACGCAGAGACTCCCTGTCCATCAGTCGGAGCGCCCTTGCAGGAGCCCTGAAAGGAGACCCCCATGCCCAAGAAGTTATTTTGCAGAATTCGCAGGAAAACGCATCTTTGCCGTCGGTGCAGGGACGCGGGGCCGGGGACGTACGTCCGAGGCCTGTTATCTTGACAGAACTCAACCCACACCGTCCACACGCTTGGCACTGCCCACATTGCATAAATCAGTAGTTAATTTCCACCAGAGTGACACCAGGATCAGACTTCACCATCTGCCCACACACAAATGGTCATTTTTTTACAAAGGACTCAGCAGTCAATTTTAAATAAAGATATTACCTCAGGAAAGTTGTGCATTATTATAGTTACATAAACTTCCCCAGCCACTTGAAAGAAATGAAATATTGATTATTTTTGCAAGAATCTAAATGTAACATTGCTCTTTTCTTCAGTCTAAAATGAGCTCCCTCCAACACTGCCTTTCATCTGCGAACCTCTATAAATGTTAATGCTTTATTCCTCTCACTAGCCACTTACTCGGTTATTAGATTTCTAAAACTGTGCCCTTCAGGGGAAGAGCCTGAGAGAACAGGGACAATAAAATGGCATTAATTAAAAACACTAACATTTTAAAACAGCAGGAGCAATAATAAAGTAACATAAAATTGTTCAAGAAGAAAATAATGCCCTTCTCTCAGGCTTCTCCTCGGAACAGGGCAGGCTGAAAGGCTGTTTTATGTCCCGAATCTCAGCCCTCGGAGAGATGGGGGTGGAGCTTAAAAAGAGAGAGGAGGACTGTACACCTCCGCCTCCCCAAGGTCAAGGGGAAAGTCACACCATCCCCGGCGACGCCAGTGCCTCCAGAGACGGGACTGGACGGGACGGGACTGGACGGGACAGGACGGGACACTGGACGGGACGGGACGGGACGGGACGGGACGGGACGGGACTGGACGGGACAGGATGACCTCCACCCCGTCCCAAACTGTCGCCCTGGGAGCACGAGGTGGGCACGTCTCGTCCGCCCGCTGCCCGCCCACCCTGCCATGTTGGCATCTGGAGCCCAAGTGCCAGCCGGGAACACCCAGAGCTCGTGCCACCCTGGAGGACCAGCATTTTTCGGCCCTTCTGCTACGGAACCGCCACCACCTGGGAACGGAGCGCAATTTCCCCCAAGACGTGCGACCCCCCACAAGCCGCACCAGAAGGCTGCCACTGCGCCCAGCGGCTGTTTCCGCAGCAGGGTCTTGCAGGGACACGGCGGCAGCCCACTTCTCTTGCAGTCTTAACAGTCCTGCAGGACCAAGTGGCCCACACTGAACGCAGCCCCCTTCCCAGTCCCAGCTAGAGAAATGTTGTTTACATCCTCGAGTTGGGGGCCCAGGGGGCTGGGAAGGGCCTTTGGGGCTTACCCTGACGCTCGGTTGGGGAGCTTCACCTGTTATTTCTGCACTGAGTCCCCTGGTGCAGGTGTTTGTCCCTAGGTGTGAGCATGCCGGGGCCTTGTGAGCCTTCGAGAAGAGTCCAGATTTTCTCCTGCAACATGGTGCTTTTAGTCTTTGCCTGGACTGGCCAGACAGGGGCTCTTACAGCCCCAGCCCACTTCCTGAAGCAGGCTACCAGCGGCCTCCCCAGCCGTGCTGGGACACGTACAACCAGGGACACAGTGACCAGCAGGCGCAGCGACCTGCCGGCCTGTGCCCACGTGGAATCTCACTGGCAGGACACAGTTCTAGAGCCACATTTGTCAGCATCCCGGGTCCCGCCCGCTGACCTGCACGCTGTAGTGACACCTCTGCTCTTGCCCTTCCATCAGGAGCAGCAGAGGCCCAGGGGTACACGCTGCTCCAAGGGGAGTCAGGGAGACGTGAGGGAGGGCCAGGTCACACTGGGCCCCGCAGGGACCTGCGACGGGGCAGACACAAGCAGGGTGCTCTATGGAGCAAGGTGGGTTTCTCACCACCTGCACATCATGTGTGCGTGCCAGCCTAGCGCCCACCCCCCCTCACCCCCACTCCTGCGCCCTCGATCTTGCTAGAACCCAAAGTCAGACTTGTGCGCTGCTGCCCCGACACCCCCTGTACGCCAAGCACAGAGCCGAGCGGGCTACGAAACGACACTCCTCAGGAGCTGTGCAGAACGTGCCGTCGTGGCAAAGAGCAGGGGCCTCTGCCTGTGTGTGCGGGCTGCCGGGCTCACTCCTGCCCCGGAAGTTCCTGATGGAGAGGCTCTGGCCAAGGTCCCAACTCCCGGACCTCAGCCGCCCCCCTGTAGTTTGACAGGGCGGCCCGGCCCGCCCAGGTGTGACTCCGAGGCTGCCGGCAACTGAGCTGCAGTACCCTGCACCCCAGGCTCGAAGGGAGCCGCCATCTTCGCAGGCCCTTGAGAGGAGGACTGTTGTCTCCAGTTAGCCGAAAAGGAAGCAGCCCCCAGAAGCACGTGGGGAGCCCTCACATGCAGCCCCTGGCCATGGCTCTGGGCTGGGAACTCTGCTGTAGCCACATGCTGGGCCCCGCAGTGTCCAGCTCGGTCCATTCAGCAGCAGGGTGGGAAAGCCGGGTCTCCTCGTTACCGCGGTGATGTCTAAGTCAGACAGTGAAGCCTGGACTTTCATTAATCAGGACGCGCTTGGAAAACAGTGACAAATCGAGGCCCTGCCACCAGAGCGCCTGTGGGCGTTGCTTAGTTTAGAGCAGCAGGATCCTGGGCATCAGGGGAAAGAACAGGACGCAACTTGTCAGTGCAGGCGCCAGGGCCGGCCTCCCACGGCGCTGGGCAGGGCAAGCGGAGGACGGCGCCGTGGACAGGGCGGCATGCCGCGGCCACAGTGCTGCAGAGAAGTAGCCAGGCCGGTCCGGAAAGGCCAGGCTGCTACAGGAGGCCCTCCGGGCCCTTGGGTGAGACAGACGCGTGGGGCGGGACAGACAGGCACGGGGGGGGGGGGAGGGGGGCCAGAGGAAGCCGAGATGGGCCAGTGACCTGTTCCTGTCCTGTCTCTTAGCAGCAGTGAGGACGCGGCGCCATGGAGCAGTCCTCGTGCCCCAGAACCGAAGGGCGGCGAGGGGGCAGCACCCCCAGACTTCTGTGTGCTTGGCCACGGGCTGCACCCACCCTGCCCCGTGCAAGCCCCAGCCAGGAGCACAGCCCCAGGGGAAGGAAGTGGCCTGACGGGCTGGCCAGCACGGCCCCGCGGGTGCCGGTCATCGAAGTCCACAGAGGAGCCAGCCAAGCGTCAGGCTGCCCCAGCGATGGTGGGCGGACAAACGCCCATGGAGATGCCCTCGGGGGGTCTGGAAGGCGCCCTGCCCAGCAGGTCTGCGGAATTCTAAGCAATCACTGTTTTTCAGTTCCAGATCCTTGCTTTGAGGTTCAAGGTTAACTTTACACCCCACCATGACTCTCTGTAACCCTTCAAGTAGTGGCCTTAATTTAGAGGGAAGTGTATAAATGGCGTCTGGCCACCCACGTGTTAGACCTGGGTTAGCTCCCTGAAATCAGGTCTCCTCACAACCAAGAATGAAGTCAAGGTGTTCTCTCACCTGTGCAGATAAGAAAACCAGCCCTACCCCCAGCCAAGATCTTGCCGGAGCAGAGAGCTGAGCGCTGTGTGAGCAGGAGTGCACTGGAACCTCACGTTTCCTTACATCTCACCCTGTTCTATCAAACAGTTGTACAAAATGTCACAAAGCCTCGCGCTTTCTGAAGGTCTGGAGAAGCGCATCATTGACGTCCTCACTGGGGATGAGCCCCATGGCGCTGAGGTGGCCCCTCCTGCCCCGTTCTCCGCCTTCAGCAGCTCAACTCTAAAGCCCCAAAGTCGAAGCTCGCAGCTGATGGGCACAGCCAGGTCTTGGCAGCGGGTCCCGGGCGCTTTGCCCACGTACCCATGTGGCTCTCAGCCGGCGGGTGCAGGGCCCCCGGGCAGGGCGGCCTATGCTCTGTGCACAGGCTGTGGGCTGGGAGGACGTGTGGGGGAGCGCCCACCCTGCAGGCCAGGCTCCCTCGGGGCCTCTGAGCCCACTCCAGCCCAGGTCAGGTGCACTGTCTGCTGGAGCTGGAACTGAAGGGAAGACCGGTCGCTCGTGCCAAAACCTACGTCTGCCAATGAGTCAGATACTTGCTGCTGATCTTGGAAATTTTCCACTAGAGGCTGGTGAGGTGCTTTCTACTGAGAAAAGAATTTGAGTAATTGGGTGACTCAACACTGGCTCAGTGGGTTGTCGGAAGCCGAGAATTCTCACCCACGGGGAGGAGTGAAGGGGCAGGCCCCCAGAGAGGCTAGAAAGCTGCATTCCCAAGTTTAGGAAAACTACAGATTGCAAGTCTTTTCCCGCTGAAGCAGATGGTAGGCTCAAGAAGAGGGGAAGCTAGGTCCTGGTGCTCACAGGTTTAGGCCACGACTCCCGGTAAGTGAAGGCCCCCCTTGACTTGTCCAGTCATCAAAACAGGGGTGACAGGGCTGATCTCTCCAAAAGTACCCAAGAACAGTTGAAATACCCAAAAGGGCCACCGACCCCCCGGGAAGTGGCTGTACACGCCGGCTCTGCACTCACATTTGCTTGCCGAGACGCACTAATCCCGAGCGGAGTCTGGCGGCAGCCGGGCGGGTCTGGAGCCACAGCACAGGCGTGGGCCAGGGATCCGCCCGGGCTGCAGGCAGCAGGGAGAGTCCAGACACTCAGGAGGGCAGGGCCGAGGTAAGTGGGAGAGGGCCAGGTTTAGGAAACCTGCCCGATAGAGATCTGGGCAGAACCGACTCCCACACAGTTGGCTGGCTGGCTGGTGGTGTGCGTAATGAGGGCCTGGGCCTGGGCAGGCCCGGCATGGAGGGGAGCTCGGAGGCCAGCGTGCAAGTAATTAGAGAGATCCAGCTCCCAGGTGGGAGGACAGGGCAGGTCACCTGAGCTAGGGAGTAGGGGCAGGCTTCCCAGAAGAAACAAAGCAGAGCCCAGACAGCAAGGACACCAGACGGGGCCAAGGTTGATGTAACTGGCATGCAGAGTCGGGGACATAGCCACAGAAACAGTAGAAAATGAGTTACTGGAGCCAGGATGCAAAGTGAGAGCCAGGCCCACGGAAAGGGGAAGCCAGGTTGAGCGTCCAGTCCAGGTTGCCCCTTAAAGGACCTCATCTTAGAGGTTTGGGGCTGAGTTAGTGTGCAGGGGTCTGCCCAGCGGTGGCAGTGAGAGCTGGAGGGGTGCCCTGGGGAGCCGGAAAGCGTATTGTACACCATGGAGGGTCAGCATCTCCTGGAAGCGTCAGGCATGGCTGCAGCAGTCCTCCATGAGTGTGACCGGCGGGAGGCACTCTGAGAAAAGAGGTTGCCTCCTCCCCCCAAGCACCCCTTCCTCCCAAGCTGCTGGCACCAGTAGAAGATCCAAGGACTTCCAGGAATCCTGCAGTTCATAACCCTCCTCAGCCTCAGTGCTTACAGTGCCTACTTGTGCCAAGACAGTGCCAGGCTCCTGCCATGGAGGACATAATGAGACCCCAGCTTCCCCCAGGCCTGGGCAGCAGGGGCAGTAAGCTACTGTAGCCATCTGTTACCAGGGACCCAGAGGCCTTGGGAATCTGACTCAACCTAGATTGGTTGACCCAGATGGGGGGTGGGCTGCCAAGGTCCAGGGCCCAGGACACAATAAAGGTCAAAGGTGAAGCTACATTGAGCTGGCACAAGAGGAGAGAGCTCAAAGATGTGCTGTTCTGGCCACCACCCTTCCTACTAGACTTAGCCCAAGTGGCCGACAAGTCAGACTTTGCACAAAGAAAATAAACCCACACTGACCAACTGAGGGCATTGGCTGAGCTTCACCCAGGATCAGGTCTTGCCTCAAATCCTCAACTTTGGGTGTGCCTCGAGGGTTCCCCCCTGGTGGCCATGAAGGACAAGCCCCATTCCACAGCTGTTCAGATGAGTCCCTGGATCTACCACCACCACCACCACCTCCTTGGCCCAAGGACTCCTCACTGGGCCCTTTCTACTCCTGTGTTCCGGGGAGAAATGAAGGCTGGTTTTCTCTTTTGTTTAATAATTAAGCCAAAGGACCCAACCCACCACTTTTTCTTCAGAGTTAGAAACCAAGAAGGAATGTTGGCTATCAAGTACAAAAGGGAGCCCCACGTTGGAGACCAGTTTAAAGGGTGCACATTACATTCTTTCTTGGGCCAACTCCTTCCAGGGGAGGGGTGCAGCCATCACCCTGCACACCCATGGAGACCCCCAGAGCTGCAAAGAGGGAGGTGTTCAGCAGCTCTTTATCTGACTCATGAGTAAGTGAGCAAATTGCTCTTTCCCAGGGGGAAAACTCAATTTTCTGGTTCTATCAAAAGGATTCACGGAGTAAAAGCAAATGTAATAACACTCTGGCAGCACCACAATAGCTCATTGCAAGTATGAATACAATTTGCAGGATAAAATAGAACTTTCCTCCACGGCTTGGGGCTGTGTGGCTGTTTACTATAAGCAGCATCTATTTTCCTTCTTCACATCATGGACCCAGTTCAGAACCGAAAATAATCCGTGTTGATGGAAAATGCAGGGCAGGCCAAAGACACTTTTCTTTCATTGTGAAGAGATGATATTCGACAAGCCTTGCCTCGTCCACCCCACGACGGGATGAAAGCGACGTTGAGCAATCTGTTCTATTTCGGAAAGAAACCAGTGTTTTGCATGCATCCGGGGAGCGTCGCAGTAAATTCTAAGTGCCAACATGTTTGTCAATTGATCATCTGGTTGACTGCCAGCACCTGCTCTGTCTTCCAAAGGAGAGCTTTGCAAAGGTAAAATATTTTTAAGTAGCCCCACGTCAAAGATCGTGCTGAACTGCCATCAAATAAATGTGTGCGGGGCCTGTATTAACAGCACGTGTTTTGCGCACTGCTCTCTCCCTGCACCTACCTGAAGTTTAAATAAAGCCCCATCAATCTATGCAGACACTTTTATGAAATGTAATTAAAGGTGCCTGGCCCATGCACAGTTAACCACTCCACACCCTAATTCAGTTTTATGTGGGGCCGGGACATTGCCAGCTTGAAATCTCCCCTGGACTTCAGAAACTTACTTCACGGACAGTTGGCGGGCGGGCCCTGCACCAGGTGACCACAGAATTGCTGACCTCGGGGTCAGGTTCTGGTGTGGTCACGCTGGACACCCTCCCAGGCTAGCCCGTGGGTCCCTCTGGGCTGCTGCGGTGGCACAGCAAGAAATAAAATACTCAGGTAGGGACCACAGACAAACAGGAGGAAGGTTGGAGGAAGAATAAACTAGAAGGAAGAGGAGGAGCGTGGTGAGTGTGATGGTCGCCTGGGAGCTGGGGTCCGCCGGGCTCCTGGCAGCTGGAGTGAGGCCACAGGCGCCCGGTGTGTCACCCGGCTGGCTCCATGATCCCCCCGAGGCCGCCCCGAGGAGAGGAAGCCACCACCAGCGCCTCCCCGCCAGCTCAAGCCAGGAGCGCGTCTGCCTGACCCAAGCCCTGCCCCGCAGCCCTCCGGCAAGGACCGGGCCGCTCCACCTTTGTGTTTGACACCCATCTCTGCAGGCTGAGCTTGTGGCTCAGATAAGAGCGCAGCGACTGTCCCCCCCCCCCTCCCCCAGATCTGGGCTTTGGCCCTTGAAGACAGTGGGAGACTAGGGAGGCAGCAAACTCAGCCAGCCCCTTCCTCTGTGAAGGAGCCTGTGACTTTCGGAGGGAAGAGACTGGAACATTCGCTCCCACTCTGCTCATGTAGGTCAACTAGATGGATGGAGCAGAGATGACAAATTAAACTTGGGACTCTCCTGTCTGCTCCGCTGTGGAGTAGTGGATGGTGGTCCTGGTAAGAGCTTCAGCAGCATACCCCACGGCAGGTTTGACTGAGGTGAGTGAACGCCTGCGCCCTTTCTTTGTGTCTATGGCTCCACTTTTCAAAATATAATTATCTACACTGCTTCATTAGCTCTTTGAGAGGGGAAATCCTATGTCATGAACAAAGCAAGTAGCTCTCAATGTTAGAGCGAACCATAACCTGGTGGCCTAAAGCAATACACATTTTAAAAAAATCAAATAAAATTTAGGGCCCTCCCTGTGGCACAGGGGTTAAAATACAGCGCGACAAAGCTATCGGCAGCAACTTCAGCGTGAGTTCGATACCTGGCCATGGGCTGGCTCACATGGCACGGCAGACCTCTCCTGACCCGCCCGCTGCTCCCCTCAGCAGTGTACTTCATAGATCGGCCTGTTCTGCTCCCCACTCTCTCTAGTGAAGCCCCTCACCCCCCTGCACCTCTGGCCTGAACCCCAGTTCTTGTATGCAAAAATAAATCTTGAAAATAAAATTTTAGAAGTGTAAA